AGACGCACTAGCCCAACAATGGGAAGGAGATATCCTCTATGCTTTCCCACTGTTCAGATTGCTACCAAGAGTGATACAGAAGATACAGTCAACTCAAGCCAGGGTCATCCTGATTGCTCCATTCTGGCCCAAAAGATCATGGTTCTCCCTGCTGAAGGAACTGAGCCTAATGGACCTGTGGATGATACCGCCCACGCACGACTTACTCGCACAAGGGGCAGTGGTACACCCACACCCGGAAAAGCTATCCCTGACAGCTGAGCGAAACAGGCTAGCTGGAAAAGGGTTATCAGAAAGAGTAGTCGCCACCATCTTAGACGGGTGAAAAAAGTTGACAAACACACATATGACAAAATCTGAAGAAAATGAAAAGGAATTAGTCGTCAGGGGCCCCCATCCTAAATACAGTACTTGAATTCCTTCAAGCCGGGGCAAACAAGAACCTGGCCGCCAATACTCTTAAGGTGCAAGTAGCCGTTCTGTCTAATTTTTTGGAGCTGAAATTGGCAGAAGACCCCTTAGTAATCAGATTCCTGAGGGCCATCTCCAGATACCGAGTTCCGTCCATGCCAAAGTACCCTATATGGGACCTAGGCACAGTTCTAAAACGTTTTCAGCGAGAACCTTTTGAACCCTTGGAGGAATGCTCTCTCAGGCATTTGACCTTCAAAACCACCCTCCTCATAGCCCTGGTCTCCGCTCAAGTCAGTGAACTACAAGCTGTCAGTAATAGAACCGTACTACACGATCCTGTTGGACAGAATCATCCTCCGCACGGATCCGGCTTTCCTACCAAAGGTCGCGTCGCATGTTCATAGATCACAAGAAATAGCAATACCATCCTTTGATAGAAACCCAAGCAACGCCAAAGAGGGTGACTACAACAAAATTGATGTAAGGAGATACTTAACCACTTAAGTATTTAAGGGATTTACCCCCTTAAATGACCACGCCTTTTTTTGCTGTTTGGCGCTGCACTAATTCAAATGATAATTGCGCGGTCATGCAATGCTGCACCCAAACGAAATTTACATCCTTTTTTTCACACAAATAGAGCTTTCTTTTGATGGTATTTTATCACCTGTGCGCTTTTTATTTTTTGCGCTATAAACAAATAAAACACAAAAATTTTTGAAAAAAAACAATATTTTCTACTTTCAGCTATAAAAAATATATCGTAAGCTCAAAGTTAGTCATAAATTTAAGCCAAAATGTATTCTGCTCCATGTTTTTGGTAAAAAAAAAATCCCAATAAGTGTATATTGATTGCTTTGTGTGAAAGTTATAGCGTCTACAAACTATGGTATAGATACTGCAATTTATGCCTTTTTTTGCTATACAGCGCTGCACTAATTCAAATGATAATTGCGCGGTCATGCAATGCTGTACCCAAACGAAATTTTTGTCCTTTTTTTCACACAAATAGAGCTTTCTTTTGGTGGTATTTTATCATCTGTGCGCTTTTTATTTTTTGCGCTATAAACAAATAAAACACAAAAATTTTTGAAAAAAAACCAATATTTTCTACTTTCAGCTATAAAAAATATATCGTAAGCTCAAAGTTAGTCATAAATTTAAGCCAAAATGTATTCTGCTCCATGTTTTTGGTAAAAAAAAATCCCAATAAGTGTATATTGATTGCTTTGTGTGAAAGTTATAGCGTCTACAAACTATGGTATAGATGCTGTAATTTATGCCTTTTTTTGCTATACAGCGCTGCACTAATTCAAATGATAATTGCGCGGTCATGCAATGCTGTACCCAAACGAAATTTTTGTCCTTTTTTTCACACAAATAGAGCTTTCTTTTGGTGGTATTTTATCACCTGTGCACTTTTTATTTTTTGCGCTATAAAACAAAAAAAACACAAAAATTTTGAAAAAAAAAACCAATATTTTCTACTTTCAGCTATAAAAAATATATTGTAAACTCAAAGTTATGAATTTAAGCCAAAATGTATTCTGCTCCATGTTTTTGTTAAAAAAAATCCCGTGCATTAGCGGGCAAACTGGCGCTATCTGGGAGGGGTGCTAACACTATCGGAAGTCACCAGTGACACTAATACAGTGATCAGTAAAAATCTGTTCACTGTAATCAATGACACTGGTGACAGGGCAGTGAAGGGGTTAACTGGGGGGGGGGGGGGGGGGGATCAAGGGGTTAAATGGGATTACTGGTGTACTGGCGGGCAAAAAACTGGCGCTATCTGGGAGGGGCGCTAACACTATTGGAAGTTGCCAGCGACACTGATACAGTGATCAGTAAAAATCTGTTCACTGTAATCAATGACACTGGTGACAGGGCAGTGAAGGGGTTACCTGGGGGGGGGATTAAGGGGTTAAAACGGGATTATTGGTGTACTGGCGGCAATCTGGTGCTATCTGGGAGGGGCGCTAACACTATCGGAAGTCGCCAGCGACACTAATACAGTGATCAGTAAAAATCGGTTCACTGATCAGTGACACTGGTGACAGGGCAGTGAAGGGGTTAACTGGGGGGGGGGGGGGGGGGGGGGGGGGCGATCAAGGGGTTAAATGGGATTACTGGTGTACTGGCGGGCAAAAAAACTGGCGCTATCTGGGAGGGGCGCTAACACTATTGGAAGTTGCCAGCGACACTGATACAGTGATCAGTAAAAATCTGTTCACTGTAATCAATGACACTGGTGACAGGGCAGTGAAGGGGTTACCTGGGGGGGGGGATTAAGGGGTTAAACGGGATTATTGGTGTACTGGCGGCAATCTGGTGCTATCTGGGAGGGGCGCTAACACTATCGGAAGTCGCCAGCGACACTAATACAGTGATCAGTAAAAATCGGTTCACTGATCAGTGACACTGGTGACAGGGCAGTGAAGGGGTTACCTGGGGGGGGGGATTAAGGGGTTAAACGGGATTACTGGTGTACTGGCGGGCAATCTGGTGCTATCTGGGAGGGGCGCTAACACTATCGGAAGTCAGCAGCGACACTGATGCAGTGACCAGTAAAAATCGCTTCACTGATCAATGACACTGGTGACAGGGCAGTGAAGGGGTTAACTGGGGGGCGATCAGGGGGTTAAATGTGACCTAGAGTGTTCCAACTGTAAATGTGTAGTGTTTTACTCACGTTTATTGTGTCTTCTTCTCTGTCTGGAACGGAATGTGTCCAGGCAGAGAAGAATGACATCATATCCTGTCCTGTGTAAATGTCAACACAGGACAGGATAGGACAGGGACCGATCATGTGATTTCAGCCAGACATCACTGGTTTAAAACGTGGTTTTGCGCCCCAGTGCCGCCCTGCACACGTATATATACAGTGGCAGGACGGCAAGCGGTTAATTGCGTACATGGAGCGCACAAAAACATGGAGACGCTCACCCAGTCTCTTCATCCTATTCCAAGGCCCAAGGAAGGGATACAATGCCTCCAAAGGCACCATTGCAAAATGGATAGGAGAGGCCATCTCAGAGGGATACAAAACTGCGTCATTGGCACCTCCACCTGGCATAAAGGCACATTCAACCAGGGCAACTGCAGCCTCCTGGGTGGAAAAGGCTGGGGCCTCCCCCGGACAGATCTGCAAGGCCGCAACGTGGTCCAGCTTCGGCACCTTCGCCAGACACTACCGGTTGGACCTGATCCCCAACAAAGACCAGGCGTTAGGCAGAAAGGTTCTGCAAGTGACGCCCCTGCCCTAATGTACGTATTCCTATTCAGTCCGCTCATGTGAAGCTGTCCTAGAAGATGACTCGGGAAATCGCAGTTATTTACCCTTAACTGTATTTCCAGGAAACTTCTAGGACAGCGTAACTCCCTCCCGATTACTGTGTACTTATATGCTGGTGATATGTTGTTTCTACCAGGGGCGGACTGATCATTTGAAAACTCAGGCACTGCCCGAGGGCCCGGGGTCAGTAGGGGGCCCCATGAGATGCCCTGGTACCTTTTTCATAGGCTTTTTCGAGTTTGGGCAAGGACACAGGGTCCCCATGATCCCCTATTGCCCGGGGGCCCCATGAATTGTCAGTCCGCCCCTGGTTTCTACTGCCATCTTTATGTTTCTCCAAGGCCTTTGGTCATATTCCTGTACTGAGGGTCCCCCAGGGAGAGAGGCTACTTATAGGAAAAAGTGGAACTCGTGTTTCCTGGGAGGAGCCTATCTCTCATGTGACGGTGTCCTGGAAGATTCCTGGAAATACAGTTAACAGGTAAATAACTGTTGTTTGTTTGTTTTTTTTTACACTAATTTTTTTGGACATTTCTGAAGATGTGATTGGAGCACAGACCTTTACATGGTGATAATAATGTGATAATATCCTCAGACTTTGAACCCTTAAACAGAAAGTGATAATGAGGGAGGAGTCAATACCCCAATGATGGTGGTCTTCAGGATCAGTCCAGTCTTCATCTTGGTTGTTCTCCCCCCCCATCCTCACTCTCTGACCTCTGGTGGGGCTCAGCCCCGCTGTTCTTCATGACTAAATCATGGACTAAATAAGGAAGTGCAGTACTTCTTGTGTTGGGAAGATGGCGATGAGTGATAGAGGGGGTGGGGACCCTCGTCCTATAATCCCCTCATCACTGTCCCTCCTATAAAAGACAGTTCTGGTTGTTTCCTCACTCTCTGACTAAGGTCCATGAATAAAGAAATGACCTGGTAGGAGATCAGAGGAGCCATTTCCTAGTTCCCTTGAGGGTGGAATTGTAAGCTCCTCAGATACCAAGCTGCCTGATGTGGGCGGAGTCCTGGTTTGGGGGAACCAATCAGCTCCTGTCTAGTAATCCTCTTTGTCTTTGTATTTTAGTCCATGGCCGGGAGATGAGGAAAACCTCAGAGGATTGTCTCACTTTGTCTCCAGACTGGAAAGTAGAAGATGAGGACATCACACAGTATAGTCCAGGAGAAAACCTGGCTCCCTCCAATGTCCATCCGGCACCACCCAGTGTAGATGGACCATCGGATTCCTCGTATCCTGAGGAACCTCAGACTGTGCGGGACCGGGCCGGCCTTCCAACAGAGAAGAGGTTTCCCTGTACTGAGTGCGGAAAGGGATTCCAATTTAAATCCCAATTTAACTTGCATAAAATGTCTCACACGGGGGAGAAGCCGTATCCCTGCCTTGAGTGCGGGAAATGTTTTTCAAAGAAGTTCAATCTTCTCATACATCAGAGATCTCACACGGGGGAAAAACCATATTCCTGTCCTGAGTGTGGGAAATGTTTTTCAGATAAGCCGCATCTTTACACGCATCAGAGATCTCACACGGGGGAGAAGCCGTATTCCTGCCCTGAGTGCAGGAAATGTTTCATACACAAATCAGTACTTGTCACACATCAGAGATCGCACACAGGCGAGAAGCCATATTCCTGTCCTGAGTGTGGGAAATGTTTCACACAAAAATCAGAACTTGTCACACATCAGAGATTTCACACTGGGGAGAAGCCGTATTCTTGTTCTGAGTGTGGGAAATGTTTTGTACACAAATCAAACCTTGTCACGCATCAAAGATCTCACACAGGGGAGAAACCATTTTCCTGTCCTGAGTGCGGGAAATGTTATTCAGAGAAGTCCAATCTTTACACACATCAGAGATCACACACAGGGGAGAAGCCATTTTCCTGTCCTGAGTGTGGGAAATGCTTTGTAAAAAAATTCAATCTTACCATACATCAAAGGTCTCACACGGGTGAAATGCCGTGCTACTGTAGCGAGTGTGGAAAATCTTTTGTAAGCAAATCAGTACTTGTCACACATCAGAGGTCTCACACGGGGGAAAAGCCGTATTCCTGTCCTGAGTGCGGGAAATGTTTTTCTCAGAAGTCCAATCTTTACAAACATCAGAGATTACACGCTAGTAAGAAATCAGTTTCCTGTTCTGAGTGAAAGAATTGTAACTCAGTGAAGACATGGATGAAGTGTTCTATGATGCTGGCGATTGATAGCAGTAGAAAAATAAAAATTAAGTCATTATCTGTGTTGAATACATTTTGTGATGAAAGTTTTCGCAAACATTTAGAGCAGCGTTTCTCAACCGGGGTGCCGCCAGAGGTCCTCAGGGGGGCCATGGCATCATGCTTGAAAACGCTGTCAGATCCAACCGAACTCCCACTCTGTTGAATATTACAAGACCAAGTGCCTGGTCAGTGCAGTGGAAGGGGGGGCAGCTTTCTGAATCCTGAGCTCCCTACCTCCCCCTACAGGACAGTACCCTGCCAGCACCACCCACAGCTGTGTGGATTGCAATAGAACGGCCTGACCCAAGGCTCTGGTAAGTGGAAAGCAGCGGGGATCAAAAGAGGGTGGAGGTTAGCTTGTAGTGTTCAGCAGGGAGAGTGGTGTACATAGGAGTGCTAACGAGGTTTTATGTGGAAGTGGGCAGAGTGGGGGTGTGGAGCAGAGGGGGGTGTGGAGTTGAGCAGAGAGGGGTTTGGGGTGTGGAACTGAGAAGAGGGGTTTGGGGTGCAGAGTTGAGCAGAGGGCGATGTGGAAGTGAGCAGAGGGGGGGGGGTGGGGGGGGGGGGGGGGGGGGGGGGGGGGGGGGGGGGGGGGGATTGGGGGGGGGGGGGGGGGGGGGGGGGGGGGGGGGGGGGGGGGGGGGGGGGGGCGGGGTTGGAGCAGAGAGGGGTTTGTGATGGGAGGGGGAGGTGAGCAGAGAGGGGGGTGTGTGGAGTTGAGCAGAGGGGGGTTTGGGGTGCGGAGTTGAGCAGAGAGGGGTTTGGGGTGTGGAGATGAGCAGAGAGAGGGGGTGTGGAGGTGAGTAAAGGGGTGGGGAGTTGAGGAGTGTTTTGGGGTGGGGTGCGAGTTGAGAAGAGAGGGGTTTGTGATGTGGAGGTGAGCAGAGAGGGTGATTGTGTAAGTGAGCAGAGAGGGGGGGGTGGGGTGAGGTGGGGAGAGAGGGGGTGTGGAGTTGAGCAGAGGGGGTGGGGTGGGTGGAGGTGAGCAGAGAGGGGGTGGAGTTGAGGGAGGGGGGGTTGGGGGAGGGGGGGGGGGTGTGGAGGGGGAGGGGGTGGGGGGGGATTGTGGGGTGAGCAGAGGGGTTTGGGGGGGGTGGGGGGGTGGAGCAGAGAGGGGTTTGGGGGGAGGGTGAGGGGTGCAGAGTTGAGCAAAGGGGGGGGGGTGGGGGGGGTTTGGGGGCGAGTTGAGCAGAGGGGTTTGTGGTGTCGAGGCAAGCAGAGGGGAGGGCGATGTGTAAGTGAGCAGTAGGGGTTTGGGGGTGGGGGTGTGAGGAGAGGGGTTTGGGGTGCAGGGGGGTTTGTGGTGGGGGGGGGAGTGAGAGTAGAGGGGGGGGTGGTGGGGTGAGGGAGGTTGAGAGAGGGGTGTGGGGTGTGAGCAGAGAGGGGGTTTGGGTGTGGAGTTGAGCAGAGAGGGGGGGGGGGGGCGGAGTTGAGGGGAGGGAGGGGGGGGTTGGGGTGCGGAGTTGAGCAGAGGGGGTGTGTGTGGGGTGAGAGGAGGGGGAGAGGGGTGGGAGAGGAAGTGAGGGAGGGGGTGGGGGGGGTTGAGCAAAGAGGGGGGGGGGGGTGTGGAGTTGAGCAGAGGGGGGGGGGTGCGGAGTTGAGAGCAAAGAGGGGTTTGGGGTGGAGGGGTTGAGCAGAGAGCCGATGTGGAAGGTGAGCAGAGGGGGGGGGTGTGGAGTTGAGCAGAGACGGGTTTGGGGGGTGGGGGTGGAGGGAGAGGGGGGTGGGGTGAGCAAAAGAGGGTTTGGGGGGGGGTGGAGTTGAGCAGAGAGGGTGATTGGAAGTGGGAGGAGCAGAGGGGTTTGTGGTGTCGAGGCGAGGGGGGCAGAGAGGGCAATGTGGAAGTGAGCAGAGGGGGGGGTGTGGAGTTGGGGCAGAGAGGGGTTTGGGGTGCGGAGTTGAGCAGAGAGGGGTTTGGGGTGTGGAGGGAGCAGAGAGGGGTTTGGGGTGTGGAGGTGAGTGAGCAAAAGAGGGGTTTGGGGTGCGGAGTTGAGCAGGGGGGTTTGGGGTGTGGAGGTGAGCAAAAGAGGGGTTTGGGGGTGTGGGAGTTGAGCAGAGGGGTTTGTGGTGTCGAGGCGAGCAGAGAGGGCAATGTGGAAGTGAGCAGAGAGGAGGGTGTGGAGTTGGGCAGAGAGGGGTTTGGGGTGCGGAGTTGAGCAGAGAGGGGTTTGGGGTGTGGAGGTGAGCAGAGAGGGGTTTGGGGTGTGGAGGTGAGCAAAAGAGGGGGGGGGGGGGTGGGGTTGGGGTGCGGAGTTGAGCAGAGGGGGGGGGTGTGGAGGTGAGCAAAAGAGGGGTTTGGGGTGCGTGAGCAGAGGGGTTTGTGGTGTCGAGGCGAGCAGAGAGGGCAATGTGGAAGTGAGCAGAGAGGAGGGTGTGGAGTTGGGCAGAGAGGGGTTTGGGGTGCGGAGTTGAGCAGAGAGGGGTTTGGGGTGTGGAGGTGAGTAAAGGGGTGCGGAATTGAGCAGAGGGGTTTGTGGTGTCGAGGCGAGCAGAGAGGGTGATTGTGGAAGTGAGCAGAGAGGAGGGTGTGGAGTTGTGCAGAGAGGGGTTTGGGGTGCGGAGTTGAGCAGAGGGGTTTGTGGTGTCGAGGCGAGCAGAGAAGGCAATGTGGAAGTGAGCAGAGAGGAGGGTGTGGAGTTGAGCAGGGAGGGGTTTGGGGTGCGGAGTTGAGCAAAGCGAGGGGGGTGTGGAGTTGAGCAGAGAGGGTTTGGGGTGTGGAGAAACCTGGCAATGGCACGTATTGATATGCCATCCTGGAGGAGTTGGACTGCCTGTGCAACTTCTGTAGGGTCCAGGTATGTCATGCCACCAGTAGTGACACTGACCTTAGACAAATGCAAAACTAGTAAAAAACAGAAAATATGAGTAGTGAAAAAACTGTCAGTGGCCTCCACCTGTAAAACCATTCCTGTTTTGGGAGTTGTCTCATTGTTGCCCATCTAGTGCGCCTGTTGTTAATTTAATTACCACCAAAGCAGCTGAAACTGATTAACAACCCCCTCTGCTACTTGCTAACATCCCAGGAGTTTCATTGACTTGATGCTATACTCTGATTAGAAAGTCTACCTTTCATTTTTGTGAGCAGTGTATAAAGATGGGAAGTATGTAGCAGCTAGATGAATAGACCTCCTAGCAATGTTATCACCAGGCTGCAACTAGGGGGAGCTCTAATGTTTGACATCTGACCACATGAGAGTGATTCCATCTAGCTCACATTAACGCCTTTCACTGCCAGAGCGGTTTTTGTATATTTTGCACACTTTGGGCCTGATTCATTAAAACCCCCAAAACATCTATTTTCTGAAAGCAGAGGCCCTGGAGAATGAAATGGTGGTAATTGTTAAGGTGTGTTGTATTGTACATAAATTAATAACTACTCCGCCTCCACATTCCAGACAAGTGATTTTCCCCGGCCAGTTGTTTTTCTACCTTTACTATTTCCTGATTTTTTTTTTTCACTGCAGTCTTGTTAAAAGTAAAATGATGGCAATGGCAGAGTGAAGACCCGTTTGTGCTGAGCTCCTGACTCCCCCTTCAGCTACTCGCCCGTTTACAGGGACAATTCTTCCCGGCATGAGTGCAAACCAAACAGCGGAAGGTGAAGAGCACATGCAGGACTCCCGGTAGGGCCAGGATAAAGCGGTTCTTCTCTGGCAATCCACAGTCTAGCCTGTGTGTCAACATGGTGGAAGCATGAGGCACCACTATGGACCCAGCACCACCTCAGGTACCTCCAACATCCCCAGATCCTTCTGGTACCTTCTCAGACCTCCCAGCAGCTTTTCATTCCAGACCTTCCTACTCTCCATCTCATACAGCAGCAGTCTCCACACTGGGGGGAGGATGTGGAGCTGAAGGATCTGCTGACCAAGGCGGACATAGAATTCCTCCAGCTGAAGGAGTCCCATCTGCAAGATATTCAAGCCATCCACACATGTGCATTCCCTCACGGACCGTGTTTCCACGGGGGAGGCTTCTCAACCCCTTGGATCACTGGGTGGCCAAACTGGAATAGAAGTGTCCTTCACACTCCACTGCTGCTGTTGAATTACAGTTATACCTGGAGGATCTCGAAGATAGGAGCTGCCGCAATAATTTGCAGTTTCAGGGACTTCCAGAGGCCACTGAGATGGAAAACCTCCAGGACACTGTGCTAGCCATCTCACGGCGGATTCTGGATCCTGCCCCATCGGTGCCCTTTGAGTTACATAGAGTGCACAGGGCATTGGGTCCCAAACCAATGGACCCTGCCAGACCACGGGACGTTACCTGTAGACTTCTACTCAACACTCACAAAGAAGCAATTCTGCGACAAGCCTGTTCTCTGGAGCCCATTGACTTGGATGGAGCCACGGTGAAGACATTGCTCCCAACTGTTCCTGATTTCGAGGGATTGTCCCTCATTTGGAATAAAGTCCCTCTTTTCTCCTAATTTGTCCCTCCTTTTGGTTTTATATAGTCTATAATCTATATAGTTCAATATAAAACGCACTATTTATCTATCAAAAAGTGTTTTGCAGTGTTAACCTTTCACCCAATTTCTAAAAATTTGTATATTTTCATTTAAAAAGCCAATATAAAGGAATGGTAGTGGTAACAAAGTAGTGGGTTTAACCAATCATATTTTGCATATTATTTTTCCTTGTAAGGGGTGTGGCAGGGGGTGTGCCCTGTGAATACATACTTTTACTTATAGGTGTCCCTCATGCCCATCTCAGAAAGTTGGGAGGTATGGTGAAGATTCTACCGGAATGTCAGGCCGTAATGCGCCCACTCCTGGATAAACTCTGCCAACTAGACCATACGTACCGCTAGGGCTTCCCTTTTACGTACGGGCTCTTCATCCTTTGTTCTACGCAGTCTGGTGGACTTACTCGATCTCATTGCTT